AGTGTTTCATTCTGTTGTACATAGGGTTGCTATGAGTCGGAGCTGATAAAAACAGCAAGGGGAGAAGAAAAGAAAGAAATCAAATAAGAGGATTTTGGCTTGAGCAGCCAGGTGAATGGAGGTGCCATTTGCTGAGATGGGAAGACTGGGGACAGAACGATATGGTAGGGGATTTGTCATCAATAGCATTGTTTTTCCTGGTTAAGTTTTAAATACTTGTTAGACAGCCAAGTTGAGATATCAGCTAGAAACTTAGAAGTTGGGGCTTAGTGTGTAAGGCCAACGCTAGAGTTACATATTTAAGAGTTCTTAGCATGTTCCATGTTCAAAGCTATGGGATTAGATCAAACTAATTATGGAGAAGAAGAGAGAAAAGACTAAAGGTCAAGTCTTGGTGCCCTGAATATTTAGAGGAGAATATAGCAAGAGACCGAGATGGTGTCACCAGTGAGATAGGAGGAAAATAAGGAGAGTATATTTTCTAGGTCCCAAGGCAATAAAATGTTTGACATTTAAATATCCCCAATAAATTATCTCCTAAGGGAATGAAACATCAACCTATTTCAGATGGTTTTCGAACAAATGCTGACCTCAGACTGTCTGTGGCACAGGAAATTTAAACAAATTGATTGGTAGTGAGGAAGGTGAGACCAAATAACCTTTAAGATTTCTTTCATCCAGATGAATCTATCACTAAACCTCTTACTACATGAATACCAAATATGAATGTAGAAAAACAAGCCTTTTAAAAAAGAATTTAGAGCATATGACTGTGCTCTCAAGCATCTAACTAGCTGGTACGTAAATGGTTCTACTATTAACATTTTACTTTTCTTTTTTCTTTTTAGTGGAAAGAACATAAATAAACTAGACAAGAAATGGTTTAAATATAAAACCCAGACCATTGTATATATGTACTTGCTTAATAAAAAGAGTATGAAACAACTTGAAGAATGTAGTCATATTACTAAATTTTATGTGTAGAAACTATTAATGTATGTTTTGCTATGCATATTCTCAACATCAATAGCAAAATAAATAAAATTTAGGAAATGAAGAAAATATGAAGCAATTCACTTATAGCATTGAAATATAAAAACAGATGGAACACTCAGCCAAGTTGTTTCTAGTATAAGCTTGTTTGTTTTTTTTTTTAAATTCCTTTATTGATGATGCTAGTTATCTCCCACCCATATATGTCTCTCTGCGAGTTTTCAAATGTTAGGTACATCAGAACCAACTGGGATGCTTTAAAAAATGCAGATTCCAAGGTCCTCTCCCTACAAATTGAGATTGGGTGTAGTACTCCAGCTGGTTCTGGGCCAGATGATCCTGTGAAATCTCTGACCTCACTCGGCAAAACATTGGTCTTGAATCTTTTAAGCAACTCCCAGTGGCTAAAGAGCCAATTGAATTTCTAATTATTTTTATTAAAATAATTTGCTTTAGATACATAATTTGCCTAGTAGAAATACAAAACTGCAAGAATGGCAGAACAGAAACACCGACTAGAGAGCTTTTCTTTAGGTTGAAAAAAAAACAACCCACAGAAACACAAAAAAAATTATACTATCTAGTTAATTCTGACTCCTGGCAACCCCATGTGTTACAGAGGAGAACCGCCCCATAAAGTTTTCTTTTTTTCAGTGAGAATTTTAGATATATTTTCTTTAAAGTAGGAAGAAGACAAGGGTGTCCAATATTACCAGTAGTCCTCAGCAGAGTATGGTGACCTCTTCAGGGATTCCTTAGCTAAATTGGTGACACCACTACACATTGACATACTATACCCATATTCTATACAATGTATGCACCAGCAACCCACTTATTTCCCAAATTATCTTGATGAGAAGAATTACTGGGGAAATTCTCAGTTGGTCTATCTTGAGGTTTGTTGTTAGGTGCAGCCAAGTTGGCTTCAACTCATAGCAACCCTATGTAAATTAAACAGTGCCCAGTCCTGTGCCATTCTCACAATCCTTGCTATGCTTGAGCCAATCTTTGCAGCCACTGTGTCAATCCATCTCATTGAAGGTCTTCTCCTCTTTCACTGCCCTTCTACTTTACTGAGGAGCTCTGGTAGCATAGTGGCTAAAGCACTTGATTGCTAACCAGAAGGCTGGCGGTTCAAACCC